TCGCCATTACTCAAAGAACATACAGTCACATATTACTATCACCGAAAATGAACGCTTTCTTGAAATCAATGAAACACAAATAAAAGCTATGGTTTCTTTTTCTGAGATATTTCTGATAAAGTGATTGTAGTACAAAGACATGATCAGTGGTTGAATAATCAATCCTAACACTAGCCTGTGTTTCATATATTATGTGATCAATTTCTATCTAGTTACGTATCTTCAGCTCTGATATTGAAAATTAATGAAAATTAAGTGAAAATGTGCCTCTTTAGTTGTTCAGATTCCGGCGTTTACCATAGCAGGAGAATTATTTCTATGTTACATTCTTCTGGAAATTCAAAATAGAGTCAAAATTGAATTAGAAGGAAGATTTAAATTGTTAATATTACTTTTTATCAAACTCGGGGAAACTCCGCCTCTACCTGGTGCTTTACCACCAGCGTTTGACAGCTACCGTGATTTCCTTATCTGAAATGTGTTCAGGTGGTACATCTGAGATGATATAATTTTCGTAATGATCACGATCATAAGTTGACATTTCTTGACATTTGCTGATCTGTTTTCAAATACAACACACTGAAAGCATATAAAACAACTATTGACTATCGTTGTTCATAGTGATTGAAAACATGAACAACGATTAACCCTGTCTGCCATGATGTCACGCAGTCAGTTACCGAGTCTGACCACCTCTCCCTCGCTACCCGGCTATTTCGACACGCATGGGATACAAGATGCCTTAAATACTGGATTCCCGATGGATTATGAAACTGCTGTTCCTGCAATAGTAGTGCAATAGTCGTCATATGAGCGAAATATTCTCAAGCACGACGTTAAACCCAATTTCACCTCACCTCACCTCCTGCAATAGTACTACTTTTAGTTTACCCTCGTACAACTTCACAAAACTCAAAACTCAAAACAAAATCATGATAGGCTGCTAAATAACCTTTTAATCTCGGAGACACACTTTTTTCCAGAGTTGGTGTGGCGTTTTATTACATTCTTCGTTAAAATGAATGTTTGATCATGAACCGAGTTGGGGTTAGATTGTGATTCATCGGTATCTTTTTGACCCAAACAGGCTTTTGTTTAGGTGGGATTGTTGTTTGCTGAAGTCCATCATGTGACCAGTATCTCGGCAACGCTGCCAATTCTCCACTGTTTCCCAACTAAGGAATTCATTTGCTAGCTTTTCATCATCAGGCATTGTATGGGTTGTGTCCGAACGTCCGTGGTCACCTTTAATGATGCTCAATATAAACTCTATTGAGATCATATGGTATGGAGAAAGTCGTAAGACGGTGTGATCTTGACCGTGGACGTAGTTGTAAATCAAATACACGGATTCAAGTTTGTTAGGATTTCTGATTTCATAAAGATGTGGTTTTGTAGCCCTGGAAGAAAAGGTCATATTCCTCCGTTGCAGCCACGTCAACCTAACACCTTTAAGGTTATTATATCTCGGGGCCTTGCTCTCTGGACGCTGCCACCCGTGAAAATCTGGGTTAGAATTGTTCTTCTTTAACCCATGCTTGTCGTAAGAGGCGACTAACGGGATCGGGTGGTCAGTAGATCGATGTTTATGCTGTTGATCACTGGATTGTCTTGTCCAGACACGATTATTTACATTTATCTTGAATATTGCAGAGTGTGGCGTAAAACTAAACCCACTCACTCACTCTGGATGCTGCACGCTGTGATAGTTTGCACTGCGCATGATATTGATTGACTTGGCAGGCCAATCAGGGAATAATCGATACTTCACCCATTCCACTAGGTACCCACTGACTGCTGGCTGTGTGAGAGGCATTTACCAACGTCCCATCTATGAAAACAGGCTCAATCTTTACGTTTGTGCTTGATGATTCGAAGATAATGCATTCGGAGAGACGAACAATGTTAGATCGTCCACATAACACAGCTCTATTTTCACTAAATATGTTTCTGTATCTGTATCCAACTGTATTCAAAGGTTGCCATTGACTGTATTTTGTAACAATTAAATCGTGTTCTGTTTCAAGGTACTTCTTCAAGAGTGAGTGTTAGTGATAGTTGAGTTTTCTGAAAAGTATATAAGTTATCAGTCCTAAATGAGATTGAAATGACCCCCCACCCCCGTTTGCCCTGATTGATTGCTGGAGTCCCGTCAACACATTTCAGCATGTTAGGAGACATGTTAAGAGCTCTAGAAGCTCGTTGAAAAGTAATTATTAATGGCACAAAATAGATTTCCACTACCTGCTGTCTGATAATAATGTTTGATTTCGGGCATGATCTACTTTTTCTACTACATACGATCAGAATCAGTCCTTCAACCACACATTTTCGTATGGAGTCTTCAGTGTAGATTGAGACATCTGGCAGCCGAGGTTGGATGATTATTTCAAAGGCTTTTATGTTTTTAAAATGTTCATCCACCAGTTATAATAACCGACAATGTTTGCAAATATTGAGCAAAGTGTTGTCTTTTTCATCCTTATCGTGTATGCTGAATATATCTGGGTGTGGACCTCATATTGTGTGTTCCATCTTCCAGTACTGGGAACTGCTGTAATAAAATATACGCTAGTCATGTTTTCGGGTCTAGACTAACTGCCCCCGGACAACTGCCCCCGGACAACTGCCCCGGACAACTGCCCCTGGCTATCTGCCCCCCATACATTGTGCCAGCTGGGGTACCCCGGACAACTCCCCCATCATAACAAAACACACAAACTAAAAGTAATAGTTATAATTTTTTAATTAATAGCACTATGTAATACAACACAACATATCAATCTTCAGATTCACTTTTAGCTCATTTTTCAGAAAGTTCATAAATATCAATTCACTTAAAAGGACAGTTTGTGGGAGATGGCTCTTAAAAATTCCAAAATGTGCATAGAGTTATATTTCTCAAAAACACGTGTCAGTCTTTTGGCACTGTCACTAGCAAATCTAGTGCCCATCTAGCAAAGGCCGCATTACTGTATAACCTTCCCCAAGATTAACTTTTTCCAAGATATAATGAGATAGCCAGTTACTTACTAAAGGCACTGCTTGTTGATATAACGTATAATTCAGTTTAATAAATCCTAAAGGCACTGATTGTCGATACAATGTATAATTGAGTTTAATATATCCTATCAAGATATCAAGCGAGAGGGGGTCACTTTTAGTTTTGCGCGGGGGAACTTGTCCTAGGGGGCAATTAGCCTAGGGGCACTTGTCCGGGGCACAATGGACGGGGGCAGATAGCCAGGGGACAGTTGTCGGGGGCAGTTGTCCGGGGGCAGTTAGCCTGATACCATGTTTTCATTGATATATTAAGACCTGCCTATGTACACATATACCTGTGTTGAAGGTTAAATAAATTTTCTATCGAAGCCTGTGTAAAATCATTTGGTTTAGTGTAACCTGTAGGTGTTCTGCACCACCTCTGACATCCCTCTAGGACAGAACTAAGGTTGAGAGATGATTATCATTATCCTGTCTCCCACTCTATTACAAAAGAAGTATCTCTAGTTCAGTTGTAACTTCAGATTAGCAACTGAATGTGTGATAAATATAGCAAGGAAAGAAAAGAATGTTCTGATGAACGATCTGTTTACCCACCCACATTTGTGAAGTTGAAATCCCTAAAGTCTACTGATTGCATGAAAACTCTGAAATGTTTAGATTAATTGTATCCAAAGTTAAAAGTCCTGTGACTCTAGTGCCGCTTCATGAACAAAGTACGTATATGTTCTAGATAAGTCTAAGGCTTTGCGTGCATGTCATTTATTCTGTACACAATCATGTTATAGACCAGTGGCCTTGAATACTGAATCTTCTCTATCTGACTCGTTGTTTCTCTCTGATTATAATCCTTTGGTACGTCAGCACGTGGGCTTCACCAAATGTGAAACCTGTAAGACCTGCATCACCTTGTATTCTTGAAGTACTGTTGAATATGGCGTTCAACCAACCCCTGTATGTATGTATGTATGTATGTGTGTGTGTGTGTGTGTGTGTGTGTGTGTGTGTGTGTGTGTGTGTGTGTGTGTGTGTGTGTGTGTGTGTGTGTGTGTGTGTGTGTGTGTGTGTGTGTGTGTGTGTGTGTGTGCTTAATTTCCTCAGGAGGTAATCCTGAGATAAAGCTGAATGTTACTTGCAAACCGAGACATTTCTAAAGTCAAGAGTATAGGAAAGGATGACCACTTGCACGAATATTCAAACCTTTTCACGGTGGTCCTAACACACTCATCCAGGGAAAGACAGACTGACAACTGACAACAGCTGGCATGTCACACGTACCCTTGGTGAGATGGCATACAATCAACCAGAGGCAGGATCCACAAAACGTTCGTAGGGCTACGACATTTGTAAGCCTATGATAAACTATTGAGTTACGACAGGTCGTAACGTTACGAACGCTTTGTGGATCGGGACCCTGGACCCAGGTCTCCAAGACTTTCAGTAACTGCATAAGTGAAGGAACAATGGCACCTGGCACTCGTCACTGTATTCCTGCTACATGACGGAGCTTTTACATAATCACGTCAGATATGTTCCAGCTGTCTCAGTGCAGCCTTGAAACTTGCGAATGACTGGCAAACAAACCAACAGCTGTACGAACACTGGGGTACGCTGACATGCAAACAACCAAACAACTTCCAATTTCTTGGGACAATATGTCGCACATCTTTACTACTGACGAAAGTGTCCTAAGATAATTCACAACGAAAGATCTTAATTTCTATTACGATTTTATTCACGTAGGGTGAATCTGTAAAAAAGAGAATATGCTTATTAAACATTACAAAAAGAGTTTGTGATCAGTGAAAGGGATCAGCTTGAAGTGCCTTATACATCTGACATGATCTAGTGAAGCCGCTTAGGAAATTATTCATCATAGCTTTGCATATTTTAAAAGAACGCTACAGTATTTGTTGATAAGATATACTTAGAGTGTTAGCTCAGTATCGATATCTGTACACCTCTATAAATGTTATGTATAACGTGTTCACCTTGAAACTAATTTAGTTAGTTCATGCTTGGAGGAGGGGGTCTTCTTCCTCCAGGACCTCTGGCATCTCGTCCTTTACCTTCGGGAGGTGGAGGGCCTCGTCGTGGTGGAGGTGGGCGGTCACCTTCCTGTGGTACTTGTCCTTGTGGGCCAGGCTGACCTTCTGGAGGTGGAGGACATCCAGCTGGAGGTGGAGGACGGTCACCTTCCTTTGGTGCTTGTCCTTGTGGGCCAGACTGACCTTCTGGAGGTGGAGGACGGTCACCTTCCTGTGGTGCTTGTCCTTGTGGGCCAGACTGCCTTTGTGGAGGTGGAGGACGGTCACCTTCCTGTGGTGCTTGTTCTTGTGAACCAGACTGACCTTCTGGAGGTGGAGAGCTTCCTGTTGGTGGAGGAGGACGGTCACCCTCCTGTGGTGCTTGTCTGCGTGGTCGAGATTCACCTTCGGGAGGTGGGGGACATCCGGTTGGTGGAGGTGGACGGTCACCTTCCTGTGGTGCTTGTCTGCGTGGTCGGGATTCACCTACTGGGGTGGGGGACATCCGGTTGGTGGTGGAGGACGGTCACCTTCCAGTGGTGCTTGTCTGCGTGGTCGAGATTTACCTTCTGGTGGTGGGGGACATTCAGTTGGTGGAGGTGGACGGTCACCTTCTTGTGGTGCTTGTGACCAACATATGGCAACGAAGGATAGCGCCAGTAGTAGCAGGAAGGTCTTCATGGTGAGAGTGATGCTCTTGTTGCTGAACAGCACAGTATTTATACACTTTCACTCCATACCAGATGGCACATCATTACCTCGCAGTGATTACTATTGCTAGCTGCGTGACTGTTTCCATTGTCACTGAAATAGCGTCTGTGATTAAAATGTCAGTCTTCAATCAGAGCCATATTGCTCTTCACACAGATTTTCTTAACCTACGAGCGAAAGAAATTATGTGTTTTGAATGGCATGATATAACGATACCACAGAGATTTTCACGTTTCAATCGACGTGGACATATTCATGAATAACGGACACATGGCCCAGAGTTCGTTCCCCTTGTTAATCCTTAATGATATACACATGCATTAGAGATTGACAAACATAAATCTGTACCTATAGTTACAAAGGTAAATTTCTTAAGCGAAATTTTAACGATAGATTTATTGCTGGAAGAAAGAAAATGTAGAAAGTTCATATCATCAGATCATATTAAAGTGGCATTGTTCATCTTCACTGTGTTGTCCACTGTTCACAAACACCATGTGAGTCATATACTGAGTCTGTGCACTCTAGGACAGTGATGCTGCCAGTGAATAGCCTGGTCTTGGCTCAGCAAGCTCTGATCAACTGCTACATAGCGATCATCTTGTGTGTGGATAGATACTTTCCAGTGCTGTACTGTACATGTCCAGTAGCAGATATCATCGACTTATCGCTTTACTTTAAACCTATGTGGTACATAACATGCAAATATGCCGTCACGAACATCGAGAAGGTATCTGACATGAACTTGTGCATCCATAGTGATGTAGATATGGACACAGCTACAAATACACACACTTGTAGCTGGAGAAGGAGTGAGTGAGTGAGTTTAGTTTTACGCCGCACTCAGCAATATTCCAGCTATATGGCGGCGGTCTGTAAATAATCGAGTCTGGACCAGACAATCCAGTGATCAACAGCATGAGCATCGATCTGCGCAATGACATGTGTCAACCAAGTCAGCGAGCCTGACCAACCGATCCATTTAGTCACCTCTTACGACAAGCATGGGTTACTGAAGATCAATATTCTAACCCGGACCCTCACGGGTCAGTTGGAGAAGGAAACAGAATTACACTTCTTTTAAACATTCCTCCAATAATAAAAGATCTAGTCTTATTAAGATCAGTTAGTGCTTGAATCTGCCCAACCTTAATGTTTTCACAGTCGACAACTCTCATTACATTTATTTTTTTTAAACATACTTTGTTCACGAAATAGAAATTCCATGAATATGGATTGAGACAACAAGCCAACGGCTTATGTAAGTGCCACTCCATCCAATATAACACAATTCAATCAATAATTAAATTCAAACAGAACAAAGTACTTCCACAAAGGTAAGAAATGGATAATAATAGGAAAATATTAACAAAATTATATTCAGTGGGTCATAGTAATTGCATGCATACGAGTTTAGAGTAATTTCAATCTATTTGAAAGTAGTATATATTTATGAATAGAGTCAAGATAAGCTAATTAATTCTGTTGCTAGAAGTTTGATTACCATGAAGAATTGAATTCAAGTCAAAACCATTTGTACAGAAATATTTGTCTGATCTTATTAAGTCATAACAGGGACAAGAAGGAAGTAATGGAGAGAATCTTCTCATGGATACCCACATGCACAATTCGGATTATTTGAAATATGTCTATCAAAACTATGAGCGTTCAAGTCACTACAACCAAACCTGAACAAAATCTATATCCAACGTTTTTATAAAAGAGAATATTTCCTTGTTTGGTCTGTAATCGTGTTTTGAACGAATTTACTGATTGTGAGTTAATTATACAGGTTGGTAAACTGCTAACTTAAGTAACCTACTAGAGTATAACATTTTATCGTATAACTTCATTATGTTTTCATTTTGCATGCCTTTGTTTTACCTCCTACGTATATATGTATGCATATGTATGTGTGTAAGTGTGTGTGTGTGTGTGTACATATATATTTATATACATCATATGCGACATATCATTTTAAAATAAACTATCTGTCTGTCTGTAACCTGTCTAATTTATCAACCCTAAATGAGTTTGAAATGTTCCCCACCTGCTTGCACCGCCGTCGAGGGATAACATTTTACAGCTTGTTAGGGAGACATGCCAAGAGTTCTTGAAGGTGTATTCCCATACTGCCTACAGTCCCAAACTGCCTACAGGTTAAAACAACATGATAGGGTCCAGTGATCAGGACCTGACCTGTTCTACCCCTGCTAAAATGAACTTGACCAGTTAGTTGGTGAATGAACTGACCTGTTCTATGGTGTCTTCCCACTCTGCCTACAGAAGTTTAAAAAATGACAAGTGTTGGTTGGTTTATTCATTCTGAGAATTCTCCGTCTTTACATGGAGACATAGATATATCCTGTAAATTAATAAGTTTTACAGTCTTTTACTGGTTTTACAGTCTTTTACTGGTTTCACAATTACACACAACTGACAAAGATGTCCATTTCGTTGCCATGGACTCCGATATGTGACGGGACCCAGATAAAATGTATTTGATTATTTTTGTTTTGGTGGTATAGTATTCTTCTGTATATGTTATTTATTAGATCGTATGGTATTTTTGTTGAAGAGTAATTTTTGAGAGCCTGTAAGGAATCCGTAAAAATGCAGATGGTAGTGTTTGTTTGGTCAGATGTTTGCAAGACCTGAACTATGGCTGCAAGTTCTGTGAAGATACTGGAGTTTGCCGTGAGATTATAGGATTCTTTAAGGCTTTTTGGGGGTATGTAGATACCAAAACCAGTAGTACTCTTTTGATTTCAAGCACATTCTAACAAATACAAATACAATAACAAATACAATAACAATAACCATTTACTACACCACATCTATATTAAATTCAAAATCTCTAATACTCTTTACCTATTTCATATTTTTTTACCTTTTTAATTCGGCATCCCATTCAAATTTCCCTTAGTACTCAGTTGTTGTTGTGTTTTGGTAGTAACACCACTCTTTCAAAATTTCTAATTTTTGTTCCCCTTTTTGTACTACCCAGTCGCCGAAATACCTTAGTTGTGCGTGCGACATTAAATCAAGCAAATAACTACTACTACCTTACTCCAAACGACACATCCCTTCTTCATTGATAATTGGGCTGTTCCATTATTCTACAGGGCAAAACATCATTTCCCACGCTGCCTACAATATTTTTGTTTGCAGTTTGGGATGTAGGCAGTTTGGAACTGTAGGCAGTATGAGACCTAACCTTCTTGAAGCTCGTTTCAATTATTTATTTATGGCATAACATGATTTTCCTCTTTCTTCTGAAAATGTATAGAAATTATACACCATAAAAATCAACTGTTTCACATCAACTGATTAGGGCATCTTGTCAGTCAACAACGACTTAGGGGGGAGGTACCGCCAGACCGACAACCAATGTGTCAGTAAGTGGTGAACTCGTTAATTAACCATGAGTTAGAACTCGCTAAAGCTGAAACGACCCCCGTACTGTCAAAACAATGCTAGTTGGCGTTAATTACTTCAAAGGACACCTCCAAGTCGGCCTTGCGCACCTCTCTCCATATCTATTTGGTTCAAATGTCTGCCTGGCGGGACGCCCCCGACGTAGGCTATACAGCACGTGATTGCGCTGTTCCTCCTACCATTATAACCCCCCCCGTTAAAATGTCAATTTCTAAGGTACCAACATGACAGTTGCATGAACAACTTTTTCCAGTGATGGATATAAACGTAGGAAGCAACAGATATTGTTAGGTAAAGGGTATTTATTGCATGCACTGTATTGGCATGCGTAGACTATTCCAGTTATTTTGCAATTCATCCTTCTCATTTGGACATAAAAGAACTATATCAATACACCTGACAGATAATCAGTGGTGTATAATCACACTGTCGTTTTAACAAGAATTGTAAAATCACAAAGACTTGTATCAGCTGTTCGTGAGCACACACTTGTTGGCGAATGTTTTCAGTGTTGCCAAACAGTGTTGAATGAACCGTGAATATGTCCATTCCTAGCTGAACGTTGGCCTGAGTGTTCATGGTGTAGAATATCTGTCCAAAAGTTGGGAAGATGTGAGAATGTTTATGCAATGTTTAAATCAGAATGCACTGGAAGGCTTCTCACGAAATGAGATGCTTTCAGCAACAGTGATGCATTTGGCGCAACCTCTTGGATTGTTTATTATCATGATTATTTTTGCCGCTATGCGTTAAGCACAGAGTGTGTACTGGTTTTGGTTTAACCTCCATTACTCAATTAGATCCCCGTGACTTTATTGCTGGGAGAGAGACTCTTGATACGTTTCACTGGGATATATCGTTTAAAAGAAAATTTAGAAAGTTTATGTTCCGTGCACTGAATAAACCTTTCCTTTGCATTAATGTGTGGTAAAACCGATATTAGACGCACATTGCAATTTCCATCTGCTTTAAGGAAGAACAAATTCTAATTAAGACAAATACCAAAAATCAGAACAAGCAGTATTTACTTGAAGTCTAAGGTAATCAGACACAATAGAATCATATATTAATATTAGAAAAAATACAGAAGAATGCGTTTCTAAATTCTTTTGAAATAATGCACCTTGATGTGTGAGTTTGCAGGATTTTCAGCGAACTTCAAAATACCTGATTTGTCAATGTATATAAAATCTACAACACATTAACAGTCTTATACAAAGTAGTCATTGGTTTGGAAGAAAAACCAACAGGAAACTGCTAGCACTATGTAATAAATAAAAATATGTAAGCATTTGAATTAGAGCAATGTTTACTGTATACGGGTATATTCTGTTGTGGAGTTGTTGGTAAGAAGTT